ATTTACGTTGGGTTTGGGGATGAGAAGCATATGAGAATATCACGTTGGATTTGGAAATGGCACATTGGGTTTGGGATGCTACATGTTATATTTATGTTTCAAATTTCAAATTTTCAACCATATAGATATGATCACAATCTATAGTAATATTGGATTTCCCATATATGATATTGTTATTAATCAAGTTATTTTGAATTTCAAAAGCATATGGGAATGTCACATTGGGTTTGAGATGTTACATGTTACATCTATGTCTTGAATTTCAAATTTTCAACCATATAGATATGATCACAATTTATGGTAATAGTGGATTTTCCATATATGGTATTGTCATTAATTAGGTTATTTTGAATTTCAAATTTCTAACCACATAGATATAATCACAATCTATGGTAACATTAGATTTTCCATATATGGTGTTTCCATTAATTAGATTATTTTGAATTTTTTTTTAGCCATATAGATATGATCACAATCTATGGTAATATTATATTTCCCATATATAGTATTATCATTAATCAGGTTATTAATTAATTAAGATTGGGGGTAGATGGAGTAATTCTAGGGACCCTAAATGTTTTATAGTGATTCTGGTTTAGACCCGACCCATTTGATGTTTTGGATCCGGGTGGTATTGTCTTGTATAATTGTTCATGTCTTATTTCTCCTTATTTCTTATTGAGTTTGGTTATTAGAGTGTCTTGGTTGCGTTTGGAGCAGACCGGGAGTTAGTTTTTCAAAATGGTTCCTGTCCAAATTTTGGTTTATTCGCTTGAGTGACACTTTTTGCGCTTGAGTGATCTTTGAGAACTTTTAGTACTTTTACAGGCCTGCCGAGATATTGGGACTTGGCATTCTTCGCTCGAGTGGTGGTTTTCTGTCTGTAAAACTTCTAGGAATTTGTATTCTTCGCTCATGCGGTAAACTTCTTCGCTTCAACTTATTATGCTTGATCGCTCGAGCGACACTTGTTACACTCCAACAGTCTGCGTGTATATCAGTTCGTAAAAGTCACTTTTTGAGTCACTTTTTCATCTCTCTCTCTCTCTAAACATTCTATAAACCCTATATTTAGACTCTCTCTCTCTCTCTCTAAAACTCATCTTCTCTCTACAAATACACCTAGATTCATTGATTTCTTCACTTATGTCCCTTTGATAAAAAGGTAGAGCACTCCGAGAGCTCTCTTTTGATCAGAACAAAGTTGGATATCGGCGTCTTTGAAGTTTTCCCATTTTCCCTCTTGTCTTCTAAGCTTGAGATAGGGATTCTTCGTACTTTCTTATGATTTTTAACTTAGTTATTTGTTATTTTCTAAAATAATATTGTGATTTAGGGATTTTTGGACAAATCTAGGGTTTGGGGTTAAAAATCAAAAGATGGGTTTTTAAATGGATTCTTGGAAATGGTTGTGGGATTGTAAATGAGGATGAGTTGTGATAAAATGATGTGTTTTTATCCTTGGGATTGATTTATAAAGAAAAGAGAGTTATGCCCTAAAGATTTCAAATGTTGATTTTGAAAAGATAATGGAATTGATGTTGGAATTGTGAAATTGGGTCGGTATTATAACGATGGTGTAATTAGATATGTATTATCACTCACATCTTGAAATTTGAAAAAGTTTATCTTTATGAAAGATCTATTTATCTGTTTAGAGATATTTGTTTTGGACTATCGGTGAATGATAACTATGATTGTTAGAGAAATTGCATGAGAACTAGGAGAATTGAAACTATTTTCTCATCCATTTACATTGGGCATTGTTGCATATTAATATATTAAAAATATTTATTGTTTTCAGAAAAAGATGTGAATACTTGGTGAATTTGGGAAGGGGGTGTGGTTATGATATTAAGTTGGTCTGTGTGTCCTTGGTGAAAGACAAGAAACCCGCGCGAATAGATGTCGAGCCTTCCGATTAATACCGGTAAAAATGATAAATTGATAGTACTTATATCGTCTACTTGCAGGCACGTACTCAAAGATTCACAGAGTTGTATTTACAGTCCTGCTTTCTATTGAAAAGGAAACATTTTATGAATTGTGATATAAACCTGGCATTGCATGATTTTAGAAAGAGATATAAATGTTTGTCACGAGTATTGCATATGCATTCACCTTATGACTTTGTTAAGATTTATAAACTGTGTTGTAGTATCTCTACTGAGCTTTGGCTCACCCTATGTGGAAAACCATATTCAGGTGTTGATTACATGCCTCCACCAAAGCAATAGCTTTGGAGGACTTAAAGTAAGAGCTTCATTTTGTTTACTTGTTGTAATTATTTTTGTACAAGCACTTTATCTGTATTGAGTTTAAAACTCACTTTTATTGTAACCAAGTATCGTTTTGGAAAGTTGTAGCCATTAGGGCGTTCTCTCATTTATTTATGTTCATCTATAACATAGGCTATAAATTAAGAGTTAGACTTGTAAATGTATATCTGCATATGTTACTCTTTTATACAAGTAATTTGAATTAATGGAGGATAATTATTTTATCATATGTTGTTATTTAATTAATATGATGTATGGTTTATTGTCATTTATTTCAGGGCGTTACATGTTTTACCAAATATTTCACATGCGTGTAGGACTCACATGCATTTGGTAAAACATTTGGGGTTCTTAGCATTTTTCAGGGTAGATGTGTCCACAAGAAAACCACTAGACCTATCGGGTTATTAGTTTTTTTATAGGATCATATATTATATAAGTCTTCTAAATAGGACTTATAAATAATTTACCCTTAATACAATTAAATTACTTGAACTCATTTTGTAATTGGATTAATTGAAATTTATTCTTTGTATAAATAAATTAAATTGAAGAAATCATCAAATTTTTAATCAAATTCAAACAACAAATTATTTGGCTTGATTCAATTTTATGTATTATAAAAAATTAAGTTATTCGAACTCAACTCATAATCGATTTGATTAAAACTCATTTGAAATTGACTCAAAAAATAAACAAGTCAAACTTAACACATTTAGGGTCTGTTTGGTAACATTTACGTTTTCAGTTTATATTTACAAAAATTTTATAAACTGATTTTTGTTTATTTTTAAAAAAACATAAACTACAAACGTGTTTAGTAATTGACAAAATGTTTAAAAAAATTTAAAAATATAAAAAAGAGTAAGAAATGGCAAGTGGTGGCAAGTGGCGGCGGAAGACGATAGTGAAAAGTGGTGACAGTGGGTGGTGGGTAGTTGGTGGTGGTGGGGTGGGTGGGTGACGGTGGCGGGTAATGGATGGTAGCGAGTGGGTGGTGATGGTGGTGAGGTAGAGCACTCCGAGAGCTCTCTTTTGATCAGAACAAAGTTGGATATCGGCGTCTTTGAAGTTTTCCCATTTTCCCTCTTGTCTTCTAAGCTTGAGATAGGGATTCTTCGCACTTTCTTATGATTTTTAACTTAGTTATTTGTTATTTTCTAAAATAATATTGTGATTTAGGGATTTTTGGACAAATCTAGGGTTTGGGGTTAAAAATCAAAAGATGGGTTTTTAAATGGATTCTTGGAAATGGTTGTGGGATTGTAAATGAGGATGAGTTGTGATAAAATGATGTGTTTTTATCCTTGGGATTGATTTATAAAGAAAAGAGAGTTATGCCCTAAAGATTTCAAATGTTGATTTTGAAAAGATAATGGAATTGATGTTGGAATTGTGAAATTGGGTCGGTATTATAACGATGGAAAAAAAAAAAAACTCAAAACGGAAACACATTTTTTGTATTTTTATTTTTTGGTTAAATTTATAAACTGAGACCATTGATTTATAAATCAAAAATTTTACCAAACAAATTTTTATTTGAATTTTTTAAAATTTTGTAAATATAAATAAAAAATTGAAAACGTAAGTGTTACCAAACGACATCTTAAAAAGATTTGACCTTTGACTTGGGTCGGCTACATTCCCAATGAATTGGGCTCGTGCTCATATTTGATTCTTAACTCCAGTTAAATATTGGGTTCGTATTTGTGTGGGTTAAATTATATAGGTGTTTTTTTTTATATAAGAATATTTATTTGGGTCATATTAATTAATATTTTTTTTATTTTTTTATATATTTTTTTATAAAAAATTAAAAAATATATTTATTTAAGAGTGTTTTAGAAAGATGGTTAAAAATTATTTTTTGATTTTTTTTTAATTTTTTTTGTAAGAAAGAGAAATGTGTTAAAAGTTGGGAAGTGACTTCTAACCCACTTTCCAAAATAGGCCTTAAAACATTCCAAACCAACCCAATTTAGTGTTGTAGATAAAAGGATATGGATTGATTTTAATTTATTCTCGAAATTATCATTCAACTTGTTTGATTTTGATTTTCAAAATTCTATTTTTTTATTTTTTGTATTTTAATTTTTTCAATAAATTTTTTAAATAGTTTAAACAATTTTTTGTTAAAAAAAAATTAAACACGCCTAATATAAATACAATTAAAAAGTATAATATTTATGAAAAAAAATTCACTTTAAAAAAAATACTAAAATTCAATACATTTTCATATTTTTGTATACTTATTAATTTTTTAAAATATTTTTTCACAAATATTTTACTATTTAAATATATCTAAGTAAAATACATATAAAAAAGTAAAAAAAAAAAATTACTAAAAATTTTAAAAATATTCACTAAAAACAAAAAAAAAAAACACAAAATACAAAACTCAATTTCCAAAACACCGAATTCGAAAAACTAAAACCAAACACTGATTATTTTTTCTCTACTATTCCTAAATTATTAATTTCATCTATTTTTATGATTGACAATGGTATAGACTAGTGTTTTTTTTTTTTTTGGTAAACCCACATTCTCAGAATTGAAGAGCTGTGACACAAAACCAGGAGTTAGAGGCTTCTTCATTGATAAGGATTTTTTAAGAATTATAATAAAAAAATTAAAAATAAAATAAAGAGGACACAACTCTTCTACAAATATAGAAAGTGATCACAAAATTGAACACATAATATACTTGAATGAACATGGACATAAATGCAAGTCCAAATAATATTAAGACAACAACATTTCTCTGACTTCCCATTCTTAAACATTTATCTTCCAATTACTAATCCATTTTGACTTGACCGGAATTTGAAATGAACCCATTCAAAAGTCAAATACCACCCATCCCCACAACCAGCACAAGCCATAACAAAACAGTTTTGTTTGGAGCAACAAATATGTGCATGACAGTAATTCTTACATACTTACTCTCTCATATCATTATTTGTTCAGAAGAGGCATGATCTAGAAAGAATTCCTGATTTCAACTGATCCTAATTAGGGCTGAACCTATCACAAATACAATAATTACAACAAATTTTACAGGAGTATATCATAACTCAAATTTGTCTGCTCTTCAAAAGGATCCACCAAGGTCGAAGATTAATAAATTCTCTGAAATTTTTCAACTTGAACATTGTCCGTCTTCATCTGCAAATGGAAGTGAACTTCAGTAATTTGATTCGATAATTTTGATGGATATTAAAAACTAGGGATACATTTGGTAACTTGGTAATGGGCTAGAAAATGATGGATATTCTAGCATCTCGCTCCCATTCTAATGTTTGGTAAGTTGAGGAATGAATGCTCATTCCATTGGAATGACAATTCCCACGATACGCATTCATTCCTCTTCTTGAGATAAGGAACACCTATTTCATTCTATCTTTGAATCACTAACTTGTTTAATAATAAACAAAATAAAAAAACAAAGAGTTTTTTGTTTGGTCTCTCTCCCTCTCATTAACACCTCTACTTTGATAATGATCAAAGTCCATTGCTGACCACCACAACCACCCACACCGAGTCACCGGCCAGCATAGCCACATCTCACCATCAGTTACCACAAGCATGCTTCACCAACCACAACAAGCACCACGCCGCAGCCACTGCCCATATATCAACCATAGTTAACCAATATAAGTGCACCTCACCTCTGATCACCATTGTGCAATGTTGTGAATACCATTCCAGGCCATAACAGGTAGTACATACCGTACCAATAAGAAAATGGTATGGAGCTGGCAAGATTATTAGTATTTTGCAAATTGTGTGGGATATTATTCAAAAAGAGGAGAAGAAGAAGAAGAAGAAGAAGAAAAGTAGTTGTAAAGTTTAAAAACTACAAATTTCAAATTGTTGAGTACTAAAAAGTGATATATTTTGTAAAATCTAATCATACATTATGTCACAGATAATATTACTTTTTGTATAGTATCAAGAGTTACAAACTACTAGATACAAAAGGTAGTATGTTTTTCAAACGTACAAGCTATATTTTGTCAAAATTGATAAAACATTGTTGACAAGTAACTAATACATTTAAGAATGTTGTTTTCTTTATTTTACTTGAAAGGCTTATGAAAAGGAACACTCGATATATATATAATACTTATAGAGATAATTCCAAAAGGGTACACCAAAACGCACCAAGACCGATACATACTGCCGTACTGACAGCAAAAACAGTACATCTGGTGAGGTATTGACAACTTCGCCACTGCTTCCTCCGGTCCCCCCACGTCAACCATCACAGCCTCCTCCCACACCGACCATCGCTGATCACCACAAGCACCCTGCCTCCTCCCAACTCATAAGGTTAGGGTTTTGAATTTTTTTCTACGAAATTTTCTTCCATGTTTCTTACTCTTTTTTTGTGATTCTGGCTTCCAGTCTCATATTGCTTTTGGGTCATTGTTTAAATCTTAAAATAAATTTGGAACAGTATTGGATATTTGATTTTGGATTACATTGTTATACTCACACATATGCGTGTATTTTTATTTTCCATTTTACTCTAGGATTGATGGTTAGCCTGGCCAAATTACAAGAATGGGAATTTATCCCAAAAACAAAATTATAAGAATGGGAATTATCATTCCATTCCCACACATTTCCACATTAGCAACCAAATAGGAGAATGGAAATGAGGATTCGATTTCATTCCCATTCCAGCATGTATTCCATTCCAACTAATTTAATTCCAGCATGCCAAACGTGGTCAACAAAATAAATACCTTAAGATTGTGAGAAGATGTGCCTCATGCATGTCTTGACGCATCATCATGCAACTGTGAGGATCTCAGAGTGGGTTCTTCCTGCAATAAAGAATAAAAATAGCCATATTATGAATATGATGTACCTACAAATAACAAGGCTGTTACTATTACAATACAAATAGATAATCTGTCAACTTAACCCGAATGCTATACGTGAAAGCTGCTGGAGTTCTAAAAAAATCCATAGGACCCTGAAAGCATGAATAGGTTTGTTAGTACACCAGAATATATAAAAATTTCTTCACTCAAAAAATAAAAAAGGCCAGTTCTATAAAAAATACCAGCCCATGCATACTAGGTTGAGTGTTATAATAGCCATCGTGACTTGGTGCTATAGAGTTCAATTGTCCCTACAAATAAAAGAATCAAATATCATATCTACTTCACTGTACAAACATAACCATCTTCCTTATTTATTAAAATCATAATTGTAATACCAGTCCCTGAATGGTCTGTTGATTTCCATAGTAATTATCACGGGTAGGTGCCATTAGATTCAATTGTACCTGCAAAAGGCAATGAGCAGCAAATTGAAAGAACACTAAAATAAAGAGCAAGGGAAACAAGACCTAATTAAAGCAAATCATACCATTCCTTGCATACTCTGTTGTGGACCAAAATAGCCATCAAGGTTAACAGGACGTGAGCTCAATTTGTCCTACAGAAATCCCAACCATAAATAATACAACTATTTCAGTGATTATGAGGTAAATAATCATAAAAAAATTTAAATTTGTATTTGTAGTGCCACAAGCATATGGTATTTCATAACTTCCTCATTCATGCAACATTAACTAAAATAAAGGACGTGAGCTCAATTTGTCCCACAGAAATCCCAACCATAAATAATACAACTATTTCAGTGATTATGAGGAAAATAATCATAAAAAAATTTAAATTTGTATTTGTAGTGCCACAAGCATATGGTATTTCATAACTTCCTCATTCATGCAACATTAACTAAAATAACATGTTATATATACATATATAGCAGACTAACTAAACTTTGGATAGGGCTAACCATCTGTTGCAGGCTGTCTTGGTGCCCAACAGTCATAACTTCCTGTTCCAAGTTCACCTGCAATCCACAGAAAGGCTGGCTTTAATGAATATGACTAAAACATAATAATATTCTAAGCACATCAATCAGTACTCGCTATTAACCTTTCTTTTCTTGGTTGGATTCTTCTTTTTATTTGTCTTGCTCATACTTCTACTTTGGTTCTCTTCTTCAATGCAGAGAAGCCCAGGGGTGGCTGAAGTGCCAGCATCTACAAGATTCTTATTAGAGTTATTAACAGTCACACAATTCCCAAAAGCATCTTCTAGCGCATGGAGTGCAAAATTGTAGCTCTCTTGAGATAATGATCCTTCTTCACCCAATTTCATTGCTCGCTGACATAAATCATTGTATCTTTGCACCCTAGATTGTACATGTTCAGATGCTTCTCCCATTAAACTCCTACTCTTGGCATCTTTTGTCCACCGCTTCAAAATATACTGGGGTGGGATAGTGGAAAGGCCACAGATTTGAAGAACAATCATAGCATGTCTACAAAGGAAACCTTTGAATTCAAACAAACGGCATATACAAGATACTTCGGACTTTCTTTCATTCCAAGTGACAATGAAGTCCTGATTCTTTTCAAAATCCTGAACTCTAAAAGTAATGGTTGTCTCGTCTTGTCTCTCTCTTTTAGGATGACAAGCAACTGCACCCAGAACCTCTGTTTGGAACTTCTTAAAAACTGCATGTGTATATAACCCTGACACATGCTTCTCAAAAGGAGACGGAGACTTCAATGCAGGTTGCCTGTTCCATGTATCTGAATCAGCCTTTGCTTCCTCTTCATACCTGTCTTGTAGAATTGCTTCATACTGTTTCAAAAACTCTTGCACAGTGGTCTTCTTATGCATGTATTTGTCAAAGAAACAGTTCACACTCTCGGATCGCTGAGCAGTACACATTCCAGCTAAAAAGATATCCCTCATGTGGGTCGGTGACCAGTGTGAGCAATCTTCATGCAATGATTGGATCCATTCATTCTCTTTGAGTTCAAACCTTCCAACCAATTTGTGCCACCTCTTTTCAAACTCCTCATGGGTCCATGACCTGTAAATGCATTTTTCTAACTTTGCTATGAAATTTTCATGTTGTTTAAGTAAATGACTGAAAGTTTCAGAAACCTTTCCCAGTATATGCCACAAACAAAAGCAATGACAAGTAGATGGAAAGACCTCTGAAATAGCTGATTTCATGGCTCTGTCTTGGTCGGTGATTATAACTTTTGGAGCTTGTCCGCCCATTGCTTTCAACCATGTCTGCATTACCCAAGAAAATGTAGCTGCACTTTCATCACCCACCAAAGCACATCCAAGCAGCATGAACTGATAGTGTTGATTCACCCCAATAAAAAGAGCAAGAGGCATCTTATACTTGTTTCTAATGTAGGTAGTATCAAAAGACACGACGTCACTGAAATTGATGTAATCATACCTACTTTTGGCATCAACCCACAACAGATTTTTCAGCCGTTGATCTTCACCTGTATCTATTGCATAAAAGAAGTTGGAATTTGCAATTTGCATCTGCGTGAAAAATTCAAGCAAACTCTTTGTTTCTCCTGCCTCTAAAGCCAGATTCCGACCTTTATCAAATGGATTTTTGGAGTCATTCTTGAGGCCAACCACACTCTTGTACTCAGCAAATTGTCTTGCCATAGCAGCATACATCTTTCTTGTTTGTTCACTGACAGCTTGAGCTGGTAAAAGCTCGTGATTATGCTCCTTCTCAAATCTATGTATAATCCACTTACCATCTCCTCTTCTCTTCACATGCATGCATGCTTTGCAATCTGTCTTTGCACATGATCGTCGACCAGTAGAATTCTCTGTTTCTTGCTTATTCCCTTGTCTCACACGTTGTCGATTGGATTTTTCATACTCACGTTTGGTGCCATATCTAGAACACGCAAATTTTGCATCTATGAATTCTCTAGATGTCTTTGAGCGACGGCTATTTTGTATTGCAGTATTGAATCCCATAGACCTAGCATATTCTTGATAAAAGGAATATGCTCCCCCATGTGATTCAAATTCCATGCCAGCAAGTGGCTCAAGATTTGTATCTTGTTTGAACACCAACATATCTGCCGGCAGAGAATTCATGTTCCCTCCATCTCCAGTGTTTAGCTCATCTCCAACATCCACCATATCCCCATTCCCCTCTTCTCCATTTTGCAGCTTGTCTTTACCATCCAACATATTGACAATTCCATTTGGTTCATCTTCCTTATCATGTTCTCCAGAAGGTAATCTAAGATCTATATCCATGGCAAGAACCTATTTACTATCACTAAATTATTTGCCTCCAGTACCTGAAAAGTATAAAGGTATTGAGCAAATATAAACCCATTAAAAGATACAAACCAAAACTATGTGAGATAACAAAAAAAAAATTATACACGGAAAAAAATGGGAAAAAATACTCCTAATATCTTTTTCCAAAAGCACTATACACAACAAATTGGAAGTAATATGATTCTAGGTTTCCAAAACTAAAATGCACAAATGAAAAATTAATAGATATAAATCCATATTGTTGTAACTTTAACCGTGGCCCACCCCCACCCCAGTCATGTTCTTCAAATTTATGCCAAAATCCATATATGTTTCATGTGTATCCATGCTATAGACACACATCCCCCACTTGTATGAAGCATGTCTATCTACAACAACAGCAACAACAAAAAAAAAAAAAAAAAGAAGCAGAAAGGGGCACATTTAGATGTGTGTTACGATGAGTATGCACACCTTCGTAGAAGTGTCTATGCTTCCCATGAAATTACAAAATTTGAACAATTATTTTCACCAATTAATAATAAGTAATGATAAAAACAACCACTGATGCCTCAAATCCACAACTGCAGAAGTCCACACCCAGGACAGGACAGATAACAATGGCAACCAAACTTGACATAAATTAAAAAGACCAATCTTAAAATTATGTAAATCAAGCATTTTTCCATCATTATTTCAGTGTAATCAAAAGCCTTTTTTTTTCTCTGCCATGCTTCAAAAGATGATGAGAAAGTGTATATTCTTTACATTAATGCAACCTCTGGCAATGGTTCAGATACAACCTTGCTCATTTACCTCATGTCATAAGAGCAATAATGATCTTGATAACAGCAAAAGATAAGTGTATATTTTTTATTCATTACACAGGGGAAGAGGGAAAAAAAACAACAATAAGACGTTATATTAAGGCCTCGTTTGGCAAGAGGCTATTTTAGCCAATTAGCCAAAAAGTTACTAAATTAGCCAAAAAGCCAATAACCCATACCAAAAAGTCAAAGATTCTCTTTTCTCTCTACTTTTTGCACATCTTTTCGTAATTAGCCAAAAAGTCATTCCAAACATATAAGTTTTTTTTACCTACCTTTTTAGCCAAATAGCCAAAAAGTTGCTAAATTAGCATGTTCCCAAACGAGGCCTAAAGAGGTACACAAGAATTAAGGAGGACAAGGGACAAGTAGTCCGCCAAAAAACAAAGAAAAAAAAATTACCAATCATAACCAGCACACCAATCTCAAAAGAAAATAACAAAGGAATCCTTTCAAATGGGGGAGAAACTGAAAGCCAAAAAAGGAAGACAAGTAACAAGTCTAATCCCATAATCCATCATGATCTTCACTCCTATCCTAAAAAATCCTTGCATTTCTTTCTAACTAAATGACCCAAAACTTAGCACAAAATACACATCTGCAAAGCACTCAAGCCTTCTTATCTGAAACAATTTGTGTCATAAAGCCATAGCTACAAGGCAATGCAAAACACATAACACACAATTGTGGAAGAAAAAGGCAGTTAGTCCTTTTCTTAATCATATAATTAGTGTTGAAGCTTTTTATGAGCCAAAGACCATGTCAACTTTAAAAGCACAACAACATCCCAAATTATCTCATGAGGAGCCAAAAAGAGGTATACTTGGATCAGCAATTAACGCATCAAAGACAAATTTGCAAGAAAATGAACCAGATGAATAAATAATCCACTCCCTTCTGTCAATGGATTCTTGTCTCGAATAGACCCCATAAAAAATAGATAACAACAAAATCAGCTCATTGGTCCAACTATCATTTAGGTTCATCAAGAATTAAAATTCCAATAAATAGAGCTCTTGTAGGAGAAATCCACAAATGCAATGGAGGCATTATGAAACAAGATAACCAATACAATCAAGGGACTTAAAGGAAACCCCACCCTTCTACACATCCTCCCGAAACCATATAGTCTACCCATTACCCACAAAAACGGAACCTATGAGAAATGGCCTTCCATGGAGATTGAGTATTTCCCGAGTCAACCAAACGGGAATCCCATACTTACTTTTATTAACAAAATGCCTTACGTTGTGTTTGGTTGAGGAATTTAAGAAAGGATTTGGAAAGGGAAAAGGAAAAGGAAAAGGTAGGTGAAATGTGAACAAAATATACCTATATTTCACCTAGTTTCGCATACATTTTCCCTTCTATTTTCCTAATTCCTTCCCGAATTCCCCAACCAAACACAACGTTAAAAAATCACCTTTGTATATATATATATATATCACTAGCAATAGACTCCTCCACATCGTGCACACAACTCACCATCGACGACAATCTTCCCAATATGATTAGCCCTCCTATATATGCACTCACCATCCCTATGAAAACACTTGGTACTCCTATCCCCTTTTTTTAGCCATGGAGATCAAGCTCAAAGCCTCTAATTAATTTCTTAAGAAATTACGATCTTCTCCTCCTTCCCTTTTTCTTTGCAAATTCAATAGCTTGTCTACATCCAAGCCATTTTTTGGCTCCGGAATTGAACTTAAAAAGTCCCGAAACAAGTGTTGGGCAAGCCACAATATAATACTTGACAACCGAATCATTAAAATAACTTTCCAACATGGCTATTTGGTGTATCTTCTGAAACTTTAAAACTTCTTTTACTTTTTATTTTGGAAATTTGTGTCAAAGAGTTTGATGCAACTTCAATTAAAAAGTCCAGCTCACACTTCTCCTTAAAACCTACGTATTAACGAGAGAGAAACTGAAACCTTATAATTAGCACAGATGATGCAACTCCAAGCGAAGTGAGACACATTCCAACACATTCTCATGGACCTCAACATACACTAACCAGACAAATGGCCCATCAGTCATAAGCCCAATCAAGTTCTGATACCAAATTGAAAAGTTCAATCCCCAGTTCTCCATAAAACCAAGTATTAAAGAGAGACAGATGACTATCACAGATGAGCAACTCCAGGCGATGTAAGACACGTTCCAACAACTTATGCTTCCCGCTATTAGACAACATTAACTTAAATAAGCTAAACATACTGATTATTGGGACGCATGGGAGAGGTACGTTTAGCTTACAATGATTATTATTTTTCCGCTTGCTATAACTTAAAAGCCGCACCAAACCAGCCCATAGTAACTAGACAAGTTTTAGGAAGTACATACAAGTTTCAATTAGCAACAAGTCACATTGCATGCACCAGCTTAATCAGAACTTAAAACCAGCTCATTCTTTTTCCTTCTTTCTTTCTTTATAATTTTTAATTTTTTTACAACCCAGTTGTTATTGACAGATGGGGCATTTATGGATCAACCCCTGAATCCTAATCACTGGTCAGAAATTACAAATAAGGGGATAAATGACCAAACCCAGATCACATACCATACTGATCCATATATAGACGTACATTAGGACACATTAGATTAATAACAACATAGTTTCCAGTAACATGGTATGGAATAGAGAAAGACAGATACATAGAAGTGTTTCAAGAATCAGAGAGGGAATAGAGAGAAGAGAGAATTCTAGAGAGAGAGAGAGAGAGAGAGGTGTGGGGGGATAAAGGGTACCTGTCTTCTATATCTATGTATCTTATCTTTGTTTCTGGATCGGTTGCTGCCGCTGCAAATCCACGCGAGGGAGTTCGGCGAGTGGACTCAAGATTGGCCTTTTATTTCCCCCAATTTTGGTGGTGGACTCTTTATTATTAGGGTTTCTTGTTTTGCAGACTCTCGCTCTCTTTCGGACACTCGCGCTCTTCTCTCTATCTCTCTCTCTTCGGCCGAGTCGCGCGTGACAGGGACCGACCTTTCTATTTTGGCTATGTTTGGGATACATGGCCTTGGTTTAACACTCAAAATATAATTTTTGAAAAATAAATTTAAAATTTTATTTGGTTAAAAAAAATTTAAAATTATTTTCTTTTTCCTACACATCAATTTATTGTTTTTTTTTCTATTTTCTCTCGTTCTTAATTACTTTTTCTCTCTTACACACATCTACTCAACTATAATAAAATATCAAATCATCTCAAACTCTCATACTCCAAAATTATTTTTAAAATATACAACCAAGCAAACCAAAAAAATTCTAAACACTCTTCGCAAGATTTTTTTTAATATTTATCTCTCAAAACCAAACCAAACACACTCATTATTTTAGTTGAATAAAATAAAATATCATATTTAACCCATTATTATTTCATTTTTCGTCTTAAAAAAAGTCAAAAAATTTATCACAAACAAGGCTTTTAGCCTCAGACCAAAGGTTCCTTTGTGATATGAGTTGACTTTTTAACTATTTTAGTTTAAGATTAAAAAATTTCGTTTCAAATAGATTTTTTGATTTTTTTAACTTTTATGAGAGAAAAAAATAAGTGAATATGGGTTAGATATGATTTTTATCTTATTGGATTAAAAAGTCTATTTTATTTTTTTATAACTATTTTAACCAAAAAAACCTTTAACTTTTTTATGCCAAACGAACTCTAAAATAATTAAAAAATCAACTCACATTCTACGCAAAGACTTTATGAGCGGGGTTTTCTTCAAAGTGATTGGTATACAAGCCTAAAATTTTATTAATTTTTAATCATATGATGGTTAATTAGAATATTTAAAGTAATAATTTTTTAAAAATTATTAGTTAATTATATCATTTATACATAATTAAATTTAAAAAAATGAATTAAAAAGTAGATTTATATATATACATAATTTTTTTTCAAATCCGTTTGGTGCTTACCTCTTTACCTTCTTAAATGTAAATTATTTGGACTTTCGCTTATAATTTGAATTTTTTTTTTGAATATCTTTTAGGAAAATGTTTTATTCATTCAATTTTTTTCTTACAAATCTCTCAAATGATGCGGTGAAAAAAACAAATTAATGATCCAAACTCTTATACTCTTTTTTTTCTCTCAAAACCTCCAGCTAATTTGGTCACGCGATTCGGGGGTCTGTGGGGGTGATTTTTTTGTGCATGTAGCACTGCTGCATTTTCACACTAAGATTCTTTAACTATTTATGAATATAATTTTACCTTTTATACGTGAACTATTTTGACTCTTTCAATTATAAAAAACGTATGTTCAAATTTATATTTTTTTAAAAAAAAATTATAAAAATGTATGTACCATTATTTGTGAATTTGAAAGCTAACTTCTTTATAAAATCAATAAAAAAATATCACATTAGCTATCACTTGACATAAAAAAATAAAAAATTCTAGATCAACGTAGAACTTGAAAAATAATTATAAATTAATAGCAAATTTTATCAATGTTAATAATTATAATTATATATATATGTCATAATTTTCTCAACTTCCCATTGTTAGATAATTTCCTCAAAAAATATAGGGTTTATTACACTTTATACTATTAAATTATCATCAAATTATCTTCTTCTTTTTTTTTAGGCCTAAACCACCAGTATCCGGAAGTCCACAGGACCCCAACTAATCCGGTTCGAGTCGGGTAGGACTGCAAGGGCGGCAAAACTCTCCCAACAAGTTTTTAACACAGCTGCGTTCCCAAGTCTCGAACCCGAGATCTTGGTTAAGCTAACATAGCCCCATATCAAATTATCTACTTTTAGTTCTTAAACTATCAATTGAGAGTCTACAAAGTCTCTATAATATACAAATTAAAATCTATTTAATTTCTAAACTATCGATTGAATCTATTAAATTTTTGAACATATTTAATCCTTGAAATGATTACAAAAATAAAATACAAACTCATAAGTATTATAAATTAATAGAAGAGCATGTTACCCTTACCTGTTTGTCTATCTATCTAGTATTTGTGTTATTCTTTATTTGTTCATACATCACTTATCTATTCACTTAAGGCCCCGTTTGTTTTGGGATGTAGAGGGTGAGATGGGATTAGGATGGAAGTAGGGCCTATTTAGTGTTGTGTTTGTTTGTAGAGTTGGGGAAGAGATTGAAAATCCGTTTGGGAAGATGATTTGTGGCTAAAATAGCCACAAAAGATAAAATAGGTTATTTTAGCCACAACAAACAAAACATCACATCAAACTCATAATCATTACACTATTTTCTCACAAAAAAAGTTAAAAAGCTAAAAAGTCATTCCCAAACCAAGTTTTTTAGCCTAGGGTAAAATAGTCAAAAAAGCAAAAAAAGTCAAAAAGCCAAAAAATCATTCACAAACCAAGTTTTTTAGCCTAGGCTAAAATAGCCAAAAAAATCAAAAAGTCAACCCACTTTCCAAACCAACCCTAAGTTAGAGGAGGAAATTAAGATGGAAGTTGGAAGGGGGATTGAAATGGAGGAGGCGAATGTGATATTAAAAAAATAGTGAGGAGACTATGTTGTGCATCTTTTTTAACATTAATGTTTAATTTTTTGTATTTTTTTATTTGTTTTATTATTTTATAAAAAAATAATTTAATAATTCCTACACCAACAACTATCATCAAAACAAACATAATTTTACTTAATCCCCTTACTATCAATTCCTTCCCTAACAATTCTTTTACTAACAATTCTCTCACTATATATCTTTTCTATTCTATATCTAAAAACAAACAACACCTTATAATGTTTATTTATCCATATTATCGCTAACTGGTAACTTTTTTTGGGTAATTTTTTTTGTTACACTGACGACTCTGGCGACCATATAGACAGGCAAGTAAAAATAAAGAATGAAAAAAATATTGATTTATTTTATTAATCATATACTTATCTCCAAAAAATCAAAAAAAAAAAAAACCATTTCATATCTCTGAAGTCAACTTTATCACCAATAAACCTTTTTATTTTGCGATGCAGCCATGTCAGGGAGGATAAGGTCTTGTTTGGAAATATATTTTTTAATAATTTTTAAATTTTTTAATTAAAATATGATGTAAAAAAATAATAATATATTTATGATATTTTTTAATTTTTTATAAAAATATGTATAAAAAATAAAGAAAAAAATTAAAATTTTAACTTTTAATATAAGTTGTTAGTTTTTTATTTTTTTAATAATATTTTAATTTTTTAATTAAAAAATAATATTGCCAAATGACAGCGTGAGCAGAGCTTATTATACAATGGCAATGGAAGCCCATTGTCGTCATAGTTCACCCCTTTTTGAGGAGTGGTTCCCACGTGATTTTAAAAACATCATCATGCACGCTCCTTTCTTTACTTACATGATGATGATGATAAACAAAGTGTGAGTTGTCCCCCCAAAACATTTAGGTTGGGTTTGATAGGGTTTCTTAAATATGATTTGAGAGTAAGAATTATATTTTGAAGTTTTGAATTTTGAAATTATGATTTGAATGTGAAAAATTTATTTGGTAAAATTTTTTTAAATTGAGTAGAAAATTTTTGATGTGACATATGATATGTGATACAAAAACTTACAACTCATAATCAAACATATAACTCAAAATTCTAGAAAAGGTCTTGTTTGGAAATATATTTTTTAATAATTTTTAAATTTTTTAATTAAAATATGATGTAAAATAATAATAATATATTTATGATATTTTTTAATTTTTTATAAAAATATATATAAAAAATAAAGAAAAAAATTAAAATTTTAACTTTTAATATAAGTTGTTAGTTTTTTATTTTTTTAATAATATTTTAATTTTTTAATTAAAAAATAATATTGCCAAATGACAGCGTGAGCAGAGCTTATTATACAATGGCAATGGAAGCCCATTGTCATCATATTTCATCCCTTTTTGAGGAGTGGTTCCCACGTGATTTTAAAAACATCATCATGCACGCTCCTTTCTTTACTTATATGATGATGATGATAAACAAAGTGTGAGTTGTCCCCCCAAAACATTTAGGTTGGGTTTGATAGGGTTTCTTAAATATGATTTGAGAGTAGGAATTATATTTTGAATTTTTTAATTTTGAAATTATGATTTAAATGTGAAAAATTTATTTGGTAAAATTTTTTTGAATTGAGTAGAAAATTTTTGATGTGACATATGATATGTGATACAAAAATTTACAGCTCATAACCAAACATATAATTCAAAATTCTATTAAAGCATATAAAAAATTTTTAAAATTTTGGAAAAAAAAATTTCCAAATTTATAAAAAGTAACATATGTTAATTGCAAAAAAAAAAATTTGCACTGTTTCGGTCAACCGGCCGGACGACCGGTAAGACATCCGGTGGGACGATCGGTTAGGCCAAATTTGAAAAAAAAATTTTTAAAAATCACGCCTCACACAAAATTTTCTGCAGAGTTTTCTAAATGTTATAGAAATATGATTTGAGAATATTATCCAAACATCATATTGGAATATAGAGGTATAATCATAGTTTGAAAATCATTCCAAACACAGCCTTAGATTTTGTAACAAATTTATCATTTGTTTCTTTAAGTTTTTTTTTATTTATATTTCTATTATTTATTTTAACCTTATAATTTAGTAATTTAACTTTACTTGTTGACAAAAATAGTCCTAGGCGTCGATAATGATTGTGTTAGTGATGAAATAAAGTAGCAGTGGTGGTGGTAATAATAACAATATGATGATAGAAATAAAATAATGGTGATAGTAGTAGTATGGCCGACATGATGTTACTATCATCACTATGCTTGAGAAAGATGGAAAAACAAAGAAAGAATTCGATATTAGCTAAAGAGAAATAAGAACAACCTAAAGAGAAAAGAAAATAAATTACTAAAATGAGTCAATTATATAAGGGTTCGTAATGACATGTAGGAGACGACAATGGTTTACGATGGTAGTCTTTATTGTTGAGTATTAGTCCACGATACGATTAAGAGTGTAAAGTTGACAGTGTCGCAAATTTAACA